CTGCACGCCGCCCTCCGCCCCGCCACCCCACCGCCCTCGCGCCCGCAGCCAGTGCTACCGCCCATCCCCTCACCTGCCCGGGCTCTGGGTTGCGCTCCGCAGCTCGCTGTGGGAGGGCGATGCGGGGCGTGCCGGGCACCCAAACATCACGTGGCGGTCTCGCCAGCCAATGGTGCGAGCCCATCTCAAGCTCGCAGCTGCTAATCCCAAAGTGCCCCGCGCGCCCGGAACCGGCGCGAACGGCGTCCTGCGCGACCAAAAGACCTGGCTGGCGGCCGTATTCAGTTCTGACGTGGTGACCTCGCGCGCGAAGGCATAGCAGGCTCGATCTCACTATGCTCTGGCAGAGGGCTCCGGCTCGCGTCCTCAGACCCCCCTGGAAGTGAAGGCTCCCGCTGGCATTGGGCCCAAAGGGTCCACCATGGAAGAGCAGGAGCTGGTAGAGATGAGGAAACTGAGGCACAAGACGGTTGAAGGGTCCTTAGCCGGGGGCAGCACGCAGAATGGGGAGGCCTCTTTGGGGACCACTGAGGCCTGTGGCCTCCTTTATCAGAGCCCAGACACAGGGCTTTCCATCAGTCCCTTGGCCCTCCAGTGGTTAGCAGAAAAAGAGGCACCAGGGAGTAGGCTGCCTCAGGGTGTGTGACAGGGGCCGACCACAGACACTTCTCAGCCTGTGTCCCCACGGGTGAACCAAGAACCACACCCAGGGGAGAAGAGCCAGCCTAAGGCTGCACCTTGACCAACAATGTGGTCCTCCCTGCAGCTATCATTCAATGGTGGCCACCCCTCACCGCAACTGTGTCACACATTCTCCAACGCCTGTGCGTCCTGCGCAGAGCCACTGAGCACGGGGAGGGGGTCAGGCCTCCGCAGCGCCAGGCACCCTGGCCCTCTCCTGGGGCACCAAGATCATTGTCAGAAATGTCACCACAGCTCTCTAAAGGGCCTGGGCAGAACTGGGTGGCAGGTGGGATTTCCCAGGGTAGATTCTGATTCCTGATGATTATGAGTTCCCTATACGTGTACAGGTGTGAGAGCATGTGAACACGCGTGTGTGCATGAGTGTGCATGCCTGCCAATGTGCGTAAACAAGCTCTGTGTGCATGAACACAGACATGAGGGTACGCTGATGGACACTGCATGATACGCATGCCCAGGAACACGTGTGAGCAAACACTGAGCAAATGTCATGAGAACACTCAGAGTGGGTGTGCATGCATAGGGCACGAGTGTGCAGGTAAGTGTAGACACCAACACAAGTGTATGTCTGGGCACATATATAGGAACCATTGTGCGACACAAACATGCGCTTGTGTGGGCAGGAGAGCAGCAAGGTGTGTGCCCAGTTCCACCAGTTCTAAGGCTGTCCCAGGATTGTGGCCATCAAGTCCTTAGGGTACTTGAGTCTCACCATCACCCCAGGGGGCAGTGGCCTGCGCCCGTCTCACAGCCAGGCCAGGATTTGGGGGCTTCTCACTTCTCCCCCACAATAGCTGGAACACAAGGAAGCCAGTCCCTGATAGCCACGGAGGCCATATGGGTGACTACTGACCCCTGGCCCAGGCACTTGAAGGACAGGTTCACCAGGCTAGCACCTGTCTAGGGCTGGGTAGTCAGTCTGCCCACTACTTCACTTGTCTGCTACTAGATAGGAAAGAAGGAGGGGAGGTCTGTGGTGCAAATCGGTGGTAGAGTGCTTGCCTAGCATGTACAAGGCCATGTTCAATTCCCAAACCACGCGTATGCAAAAATAAATAAATAAATAAATACATGGAGGTGAAGTGTGCTCCATCCAGGCAGTCCTCCAAGAATAGCTTCATTGCCAGTTACATGGGGGTGCACGTGCTGCCGAAGAGGGGCCGCCAGAGGAGAGCCTCAGTACCTATCAGCTCTACCCAAGCACCACAAAAGGAGAGGCAGGAAGAAAGACCTCTCGGTGGAGGCCAGGAGCCCATTCCTGCAGACTGAGCCCAGTGGGCAGGATTAAGGAGAATGCTGAGTAGTCAGCCTGCCGCCTCCTTGGGGCCCAGGCCTGAGGTCAGGGATCCCTGACTCTCTTCACTGCCCCTCCTGGGTGGGGCTGTCACGTGACCTCAGGGCAACTCTGGCCTCTATCATCTCACTTGGGACAGTTCCCAGGGAAGAGGCTCACTCCTAGGTAGATCACAGAGGCCACCAGGAGTAATTGGAATTGGCACTTGTACAGTGGGCTCTCTCACCTCGAGTCAGAGTTAGCTTCTCAGCTGGCAGCCCATTAAGCTGGATCTACCTTTCCAGGCCCTGGTCGAGATAGTTGGAGACCTTCAGAAGGAGCCTGGATGTAGCACCCACTAAAGCTTCCCTAGAAGCTCCCTGCACCCTGAGAAGCAGAGTGGCCAGCGCCATAGTGGAGCTGTATTTCTAGACCCAGCAGTGTCAGCCGTGGGTCCTTAATGAGGGTTTTGTACCCTCCCACCTACCTACTTCATTCCACCTCTGTACCTCCTGTTCCAACCTGTCACAGCCTGCATTCTCCCACTTGCTTATTGATTCTTCATCCATCAAATTCTGCAGAGCGTGTAATATCACTGTCACCCATGTATACATCATTCCTTGTCAACAGAACCCCAGTTCTGTCCAAGATAGTAAAGTGCCCAGCCTTGCTGGCAGCTGGAGCTGGCCATGTGACCCCCCCTTGGCCACAGGGTGACCAAAGGAGGCCCAGTGAGCCTCCAAACCCTCCAGAAGGGACACTCTAGCTAACTAGCCGGTCTCACTGCCCTTGTCCTTGCTTCTCACTCCAGCCTGGGATGTGAGCACAAGGTAGCAAGGACAGCAGCCATTCTGCCAGCTGGGTGCAGAGTTTTAGGCTGAGGACAGAAACCCGTGCATGGCATGTCTGACTCCACACGCCAGCCCCTTGACCGAAGGAAAGAACCAAAGCCCTGCTTCCCTATGCCCTGTCTGATTGGGTGTGATTGGGTTTTCTATAACTGAAGCCAACACTACTGTTAAGGACATCAGCCATGCCGCCAAATGACAGGTTCCTTGAGGTCAGGCCAGGGCTTCCACTGCATCCTGCAGATGGTTGATCAAGGCAAGCCCCTGCTCACCCATTCAAGATACAATCCAGCCACAGCAGCAAGCTCTCAGAAAGCCAACTCCAGGGACCAGCAGCCTTCCTCCCTGGTGAGCATCAGGTTGACACCTGTCACTTAGGTGGCTGCAGCATCCCTGCAGGGTGAAACCCTGTCCTGTGGGGACACATCCTGGCCCTCCCACTGCTGCTGACCTCAGGATCTGCAACTCAGGCAATCTGAGCTTCGATCTCCTCTCCATGTGGTCCCCACTGTCACAATCCCAGCATGGGGTGCTGACTGGGGGTTTGAGTGGGTCAGTTTGTCTGGGAGCCCTGGGAACATGTGAACCCACAGTGAGTGTGTGTGTTATTGCTATCTTGAGTAGATGCCAAGCACTGGCTCCAAGCACCAGAGCTAAAAACATGGGATGATGCCCTAAGGGCATCTCAGAGAAGAAAGAGGAGACAGATGGGCCTAAAAGACTCACCCACTGGACCATAAGTCTGTTGTTAGAAGTTTGTATGAGGAAACACTGCGTCTTTCCCTGAGTACTGCAGAAGTTTCCCGGGAGGATTTGGCTGGGTGCTGAAGGATGAGCAGGAGTTTGCCAGGCAGGAGAAATATGAACCTAACATGGCTGCTGCAGAAGATTGTCACATCTGCCTGTCACATCTGCCTCTTGAGTCAGTCTCTGCCTAAACTCTTACTCTAAAATTACATAGAAATTTACCAGATTCTCTTCCTCCTTCCCGTTCCCCTCCTCCCCACCATCCATCCACATACATACAGAAATACAGTCCCACACATTCACCTCTAGTTATGGAATCCAAGAGCTCACCCTACTGTGCTGAAACAAACCCCCGTCCCCACCCTAGACACCAAAAATAGCCCCCACCGCTGCACACAGGGAAATGCAGTAATGAGATGCTAATGAGAGAAGGTAAAATCAGAGAGAACAGTGTTTTGCAAAATCACAACAGTCTGTACTTCCAGGGCCCCCTCCCCTTGAATGTGCCGAAAAAGCTCACGACAGCACTGTGTGTGGGAGGAAGGCAGCCACAGCCCCACCTCAGGTTGCGGATGGAAATAGGAAGGTCACTGAGGCAGTCAGGCACTGCCTCCCAGGACTCCGTCCTGCTCACTGCAGACCCCGGCTCAGCTTGATGGGCTCACTTGCTCCAGTCTGAAGACACACACAGTCAGGACAGGGCCCCATACAGCCACCTGCCCGGGTCCCAGACCCTGCCTGCAGCAACCAGCTCTCCTGATTGTAGCCAGGCCCTCCGGCTGGAGGCCACTCCATTGTTTTTGAGGATGTGACCTCACTGGCCCTGCCACCCACTCCGGAAGTTCAATCTAGCCCCACAGGCACCCCTTCCCTCCCACGCCACACTGTCCATCCTCCGCTCCCAACCCCAAATCTAGGGCTCCTTGTTGGTGGCAACTGGAGCATTGTTAGTTTTCCTCGTGTGTTTGTTGACTGAGTGAATAGTAAGCTAGAGTGGCTGAGCCAGAGGGAATTTGAAATCATTAGAATAATCTGGAGGAAACTGAGCCCTGTGGCAGGGCGGGATCCCAAGACCACAGGGCAGGGAGATTAAACAGAGCCCTGAGCTGATGGCTCCAGCCCGGGGCTCTTTCCCTTATGAGGGTGATCCCTACAGGCTGAAGTCCCTGCCCACATTAAAACAGTCCTTCCTCTGCCCTTGGGGTTCCCTCCACTCCCTCCACCTCCATCCTCTCTGAGCCTTAACTGTCCCTTCACCATCCCTGACAGTTGCACCAGATGAGAAAAGGGGTGTGGGGACAAGTGAGTGAAAGCTAAGGCTGCAGCCAGGCATTTCCTTGGGGCTCTGGGTGAGGCGCCAGGATGTACCCAGCACTAGGACAGACAAGCAGATCTCCCCACACAGCCACCCCAGGTCTCTGTCCTCTGTGGTCACCAAGGTGGAGGAAAGGAACCCACAGGAATTATAGGTTATAGGGATGGGGCCTAGCTCCCCGGGACAAATAGGACAGGGACTGGGCCACTCAACTCGATAATGGGGACCAATAGATCCAG